TTGGTCAAATATTTTAAGGTTATGTCAGATCTAGAGACAGAAATGTTGCCCTTACTTTACAAAATACAAAATAGCCCATACTCAGTCAAAATGGCTGAAATCCATTTGTGTATATATTTATTTGTTTTTTGTTTTTTTTGTATTATTGCCATATATGATTTTGGTCTGGACCTTGACTGGACCACCCTTTCATATGCTTTGCTCTAAACAAGGGGTTAAAAAACTGCAGCATTGGTGGGCCAAAGAATGATTTTGTGTGGCCCATACAAAAAAACAGCAAATCAACAATCACACAAATGCTTCTGGTCAGCACAGGTGACAATCTTAATTATTTTTGAAAAGTTGGGTACAGCACAATATATCAGTATTTCGTTTGCTGTTTTTTATTGTTTTATAATGCCATCATAAATAAAACAAACATCCAGTGATGTTCTGTGAGGATCAGACTGGGCTGTCCAAATTCTTCAAACCTTCAGAATCAGAATCAGGTTTATTGCCATTGTTAGTGAAAGAGTTCACAAACTAGGAATTTTTTATGGTACAATCGTGCAACATGAAACATATAATATGAAAAAGCTAAATAAAATTATAAAAATATCTAAAACACTGTGGGTATAAGGCATGCAATAAAATAGACTAATATATACACTTAAAGCTACAGTGTGTAATAATTACAGGGATATAAAGTCAGAAATTTAATATATTATACATAACTATGTTATTTATCATCACCTATGAGCTCAGCCTTTTAACCATAATATTTGCGTTGCCTTAGAATTCGTTATTTATAATTACATAGGAGCGGGTCTCGCAGCCATGGAGGCTGACATCTTTGCGCTACGGCAAGCGCAGAGGCAACAAACTAGCGATTGCGAGATCTCCCATGACGCTCAAAAATAACTACGGCAAGTTGAGAGAGATGAACTGAGACGGTACTGAACAGTAGATGGCAGTATTATGCCTGAGAAGCGTTTAGTCTGCCTGAAACCAAAGAAGAAGAAGAAGAAGCAGGTATACTGCGCATCAGTAACAAGAAAGGTGAACAAGGCGGCAGGCGTGAGTGACTTTGCAAACTGTTTGGCACTGTGTGGCCAAACATCAGACGAATGGAGGATCATGCCTACTCTGTATCACAACGAAAAGCGGTGGACACCGAACCCCCGTCATCTAAGAAGCGGAAACACGACGAGAATAAACGCAAGCGTGACAAGAAACGGCAAAAAACACGGATCAACATTGGCACGGCATTTACACGATGGAAGTCACTGATGGAGGAAAAAGGTTTTCAAAGTGACGCTCAAGTTGCCAGTTTTCTCTTGGACAGGTAATTAATCCTACACACACAATTGTCTAATATCACTGCAGTTTTTGGAGTACAGGATGCTCAGACCTGTCTAAAACAATAACATGCTGCGGCGTGATGATGCTGTTCCTCTCCAGTATACTTATTCAGCAACGTCCCTGACGTTTCACAGGTAATGATTCAGTAATTTTCTGTAAAATAATTTTCTGGATATATACCTCGGTTACTTCTCTCCGGCTCCTTTGGAGATCTTCAAGCCTTTCCTCCTCTGCTCTCACCCCGCTGGCTCCCCTCTCTCGCCTGGCCCTAGCTGCACGGCCTCCCTGCCCTCGCCCTCGTCCTCTCCGTCTTCCTCGCGTTGTAACCCCCGTGCCACCAAAATGACTTAGACTCTGTAAACGGGGAATATATATTCTTCCAGCGAACACAATCTCGCTGTTAAACTAATGACTACAATTACTTCGTCTGTTTATATCACCATGCAAAGCAGCTCACCAAAACGTCACAACGATGTAGAAAAAATAACGGGTATATTTATTATCTTAAGTCTACATGAAATCTATACCCTACTCAGACTAATGAAATACTATCTGTAAAATTATCTATGTAAACAAACCTCATCACTTGAGAAGGTAGGTGATGTGGACGTCGTGGAAGAAATTTTGTCCCGTAACGCTCGCCGTACTGTTGGGGGGGAGAAGCGGTGGGGGGGAGATGTTCATGTTGCTGCGGTCTGCAGTCTGACCGCTAGATGTCGCTGAAAATTACACACTGTAGCTTTAAGATAAAAATATAGATATGAAATATAAAAAGTAAAATAGCATCTTACAAGGAGTACAAATAGAGCAGTGTCCAAAAAGAGCAGTGTAAATGGCATGGGCAGGTTATAGAGTCTGACATATAGTTAGGTGAAATAATCCTTGAAATGAAGTGTGCTTTAAGAAGTGACCCATGAATTATTTTAATATTATTATTTGCAGTGACGTGCGGTGAGGTTCATAGCTGGTGAGGCACTGACGTCATCAGAATCAGATTTGCAAATAGATGCATAGATTGACAGCAGTTTACAGGTTATGTTTCACTTCTGCATCCTTACACATACAAACTGTAGCTCACAAAACACACATTTCCTTAAAAAACAAAACAAAATAAATGTTATTACTGTCTTACCTTTACTTATAAATGAATAGAAGTCCTCCTTATCTTCCTTCAGTTTTAAAAGTCTCTCTGTCTCAATGGAGATCACTGCCAGGGAAGAAAGCCTTCCTTGATCCGTCCTGTTCCTGCCTTATGTTTTCAGTCTCTTGAGCACCCCCTGCCATGAGGCAAGAGAACTGCCTGCCTCACCTCGAACTTGTTCTCTGCCGTTTATAATCGCTCATTACACGAAACACGTTACACAAACACAGTTGGTGACAAAAAGCTCTGTACATTATATACATAAGCCAAATTATTAGAAATAAGTTCACATATTACATTTGTTTAAACCATTTTATTGACGCCGTACAGCAACATGCTCTCTCCGCTTTGCAGCCAGCGCAGAGCCAGGGGTTGCGCAATCCAAGGTGAGGCAGAGCTCGCTGCTGCCTCACCGGCATCGCTTCCAAGCATTTGAATGGGAAAATAAGAAAATTCAGCGATTTTGAACAAATAAAAATCGAAATTGGTGAAGCTACATGAAAAATGAATATTTTTTAGTACAAACCACCGGATGAATATAACAATTTAAATTACTTTATGATTATATATTTTCTTTCTTTCCATGATGGCTGGTGAGGCACTGCCTCACCTGCCTCCCCTGACCGCACGTCACTGATTATTTGAAAAAAGCTAATTTAGACCAAGAAATGAAAAACTGTCAACTGAAAAATAAGAGTTTAAGACGACCTTCACCTTTGGACATTTGGACTCCTCCAAACTAAACCCCCACCCTATAGTTCTAACTGTATGTTTAGACTCATTTTCATGCTAATCGGTCAACCTCCATCAAAGAATTTTGCAGGCTTCAGCTCCATTCATCTTCCCATCACCTTAGACAGCCTTATCTTTCCTTGCTAAAGGAAATGTCTTTCCACACCATTATGCAGCCAACACCCTGTTTCAAAATGAGAATGCTACATTAAAGCTGATGTGGACTGAAATCCATCCCAAATGTAAAGCATTCCGCTTTCAGACCATCTACAGGTTTATAAGATGGGAATTTAAGACTTTTTGTTGTCAGTATTCTATGAATGCCACATATGTCGAGCACAAACTCACTCTACTTCACCTTGATGTCTCTACTACATTCCCCATGACCGTCTGCTGTGTTTTCAGTCCCTATGATGCTGATGCCCACTAATGTTCTCTAATAACCCCTCAGGTTTTCACAGGATAGCTGGATTTATTGTAAGATTAAATTTCTCACTCATTTACTAATTAGCTTCAGTTGTTTTTAACATTTCTGGAAGTAAAGAAACAGTTTGGCAGAGTTTGGGTGGAAGATTTGCTGACTCAAATGCAAGGTACTATCAAAATATCAAACCTTCTTGCTATAATTCACTTGTTTCACTGCCATCAGTTTTCTTCATTGCATATAAAACAATTTCCGCAGAGCAGCTCAGACAATTCATCGTTAGAATTTTTACAAGTACTGACATAAAATTGACTCTACGAGCAATCAAAATCCCCGCTGTATAAACACATATAGGATGGCTTCTATAGCAACGTCACCTGAGCTGAATTTCAAACAACCTTCTGTCTTTTCTCTTCCCTTTGTTGGCTTGTGTGCTGTTGTCTAGGCACCGTGAAGTCCTCACTCAGGAGACGCCCCAGTCAGTCCCCAGAGTGCACCGCTCCCGTCTACAGGAGGAGACCACACCAATGCTTTCCTCAATATTTACAAAACAAACACTTCACCTAAAGAAGGCCTCGGTTTATGTTCCAGATGGTGGATCAATAATTTGTGCACACTGCAGCTTTTCAGGTACACACAATCCTGTTTTTTTTTTCTCTCTATGAGGACTGCTGCAGACAGCCCACGTGGTTAAGAAATTAACTTTCATTGAATAGGAGTTAGCTGTGAAATCCTGTGGTGGGGATCGTTGTTGGGCAAAAAATAAAATAAAGAGGTCATGTGTCTGTGAAGCATCCAGCAAGAAAGGCACCCACCCATCCTCAGAGGCATTTCCCAACCCAAAGCCAGCAGATGTATTTAACAACAACAGGGTGGTAACATGAGGATTACCACATTTTTCATTCAGTATAAAGCAAAAGGATTAAAAATCAAGCTTTAAAACGATCTTTCCACTGCAGGGCAACAAAACCAGAGTTTTACTTTAGGAACTAAGTCCAAAACAATTCATGGTTTACTATTTCAGGCTTAAAGAAAAAAACCTAAGAAGAGTACACAATTAGAAAAAAAATAGATAAACTATACGTTTAACTAACTCTATCTTTTATTTCTAAACAGATAAATGTACGGATATGACATATTATTTAATATGCTTAAATAGTCAGACACAAGACAATTAATGAATTATTACTGCCAACAAATCAATGGACTATTTTGTCCTTATAATCATAGTTTAGTAATAATCAATAACTTAAAAGAAGACATAAATAATCAAAGATAATAACCTATGATCTTTTCATCTAATTTTATTTTCCTTCTCCGGCCATCTGTTTTCCTCTGAAGAAGCAGATAAACAACTCTTACCATTCATGGCTGCAGATATAAGGCTCCCAGGCAGCGAGGGAGATCCTCTGCTCAGCTGGCTAGGTATCAGACATCTGCTGAGAAAAAAAGAGATCTTGGTGTTATTGTGTGTGCGTCACAAAGTGATGGAAGTACAGCAATCTGGGAATGAGAAAGCTAGCAAAATGTATGAAGATTGGAAAAGAGAAGAAAACAAAGGAAAACAATGACGACACACTTTTCATAAAGGTAAACTGATTAAGAAACAGCAAACTGCTGACTGGGCTGGTAGAGGAACAGATTGGAGGAGAAGAAGGAAAACAGACAGATAGAGGAGGAAAGGCTTTAGATACACAGACACTGTGTGTTTTTTACTTCATTTTTTTTGGCAGATTTAGTTTCAGAAAACAAAAAAACGCAGAAAAAAGCATCAAAGTGATAATAACACATTACGAAAGAATCAACTCCTAAACATTTTTTTTCAACTTGCTCAGAAACAGTTTCATGTAATCCCTAAATAAAATCTTGATTTTCCTGGTTGTATATTTAAAAGGCATAAAACACAAGTAATTAAGCCTCTTAACAAAGCAGCAATTGAGTTATTATCACTTATCTTTAGCTTTAATATCCTGTGGCAATCAGCAAATAACTTAAAATGCATTGAAAGTATATATTCCAATGTTTAAAAAAAAAACAGTTTGAAAACTAATCAAATTTATCATCATTCCACCTCACTGGTCAAGAGGGAAATGAAGCCCTTGTACTTCTTGCGGAGAGCCCACCTGCCCCCACCGTCCTCATGACCCTCTACAGAAGCACAATAGAGAGTGTTCTGACCAGCTGTCTCACTGTGTGGTGTGGAGGCTGCAGCGCCGCAGACTGGAAGAATCTATCTATGTCTGATCTATGTCTATCATTCTTTTTCTACAGTTTAACACGTTCTTTGTCTGCACTATGCTAAATTGGGCAATGCGCCAAAGTCCCCTAACCCACCAATTGCTGTGCATTGCCAGTCCGAAATGCAGTCGAACTTTCCATAATTTTGAAAACACAAATACATGCACATGCACATATTTTCGATGATGAAAATATGCACAGTAGCAATGTAGAAACTGAAAGAACAGCTAGCCATAAGCAGATCCGCTACCTATACATCTGAAAAACTGTTGACTACACCAGCAGATGGCCAACTAATCCAACAGCTAACGACTTGTTATAAACTGTAAAATAGAAATAGAAACTCTGCAGAATGAGAAGATAAATACAAATTTGTATGTATACCACATCAATAAATGTAATAATACAGTATGCTACTCTATTTTAGCAGTAATCACGGTAAAAACAGTTGTTGTTTCAAATATTGACAGTTGGGGTATATATTTTCTTCCCTAACTCTTATATTAACACAACGATACCAAGAAACTGCTTTTTTTTACTATCATCCCAGGAGAACCTGCTCTTGCTTAGAGGCACAATAAAGAAAGCTGAATATCCAATTGATGCATGACTGCTGCCTTTGTTTACTACTCTGTATGATAGAGTTTTCATGAAGGTATCAAACAAATAAATCAAGTTGTACTGTTGATTGTAGCGCTTAGGGAGAAATCGAAATTGAGTGAGATTAAAACTGGCAGGTGAGCGTTTAACAAAATATTCATGTGAAAGTCATACGCAACTGACAGCAATGAGTTTGGATTATTACCAACGGCTTTGGTTGAGACTTGGCTAGATTTCAACAGCATTGCAAATTTAATTTCCATATATTTGTCTGAAATATACAATGATAATGTTTAGACATAAAAAAGTTAAACTGTTGTCAGGTTTAGAGGGTAGCTGTTTCCCCCACCAGGGTCTTACCTGATGCAATCAATTCAATTAAACTTAAACAAAGACCTGCAGTTTTTATTGTGCGTATATATACTATCATAGTATCTTTACACTGAGAGCTGTCAGAAAAAGAACAAAAAAACAACATGTGGGCTGGTCAGCGGTAAAGAGAAGCTGCTATAACAGCCGCCCTATCTCTGTGACGTAAGAGAGGTGTTTATATGAATACAGAGGGCAAAGAGAGGTTGCTAGATAATCTTATTTTCCTGGAAAACAATACCTGAGGCATTGTGGTCAATGGAACCAAGCACTAGCTGATAGTGAGATGCTACTGCTGTCTCTACTATTACTGTCTCACACATCATGTGGGGCTCTGGCAACCTTTTAAAACAGGACAGCTTATTACAATGACTGTATATGCTGAGTAAAGAGGTATGTCTTGTAAAAAGATGGTAGAAAAAACAAAGATGGATTTATGGCTGTAGGAATAGCAGTAGGGGTGACTATTGGCATGGGTGTTGCAATCAGTACGTTTCACAATACTTGATTCAAAATATGACTTTATCACAATATTATCCGCAATGTTTTACAGCTAGTGCTGTAAATATTCATCAGAATCCAGGTTGTTTGGGGTTTGAGTTAGTCCTCGTCCTCTATGTGACAGCCTCAACTTCAGAAATAGTGCTTCACCGCACAGCAAAATGGCTCAATAACTCTATCTGCCAGAGCGGCGTTGCAGAGGTAGAGGTAGCATTGTTATTGTCATGATTGCAGCCCTGATAGCTGATCTAATTACTCTCTTCAATCACCTGCCGAACCCTCCCCGCTTACTAATTATCTTTCATCTTATCCACCTGCCCCTTCTGCTTTATGTACGGTTCAGCCCAGCTATCGGGGCCAGATCATTGTATGATGTTTTGTTTGTTAGTCTTTTTGTCTTGATCACGTCCTGGCTGAGCGTGCTTTGTTCTTGTTTTGGCTCAGTGGAGGAGCCAGTTTAAAGTTCCATAGTTTTCCTGGTGTCTTGTTATGTTTCTATCTCTCAACTGCTGAGCCTGCCTGTTTCCATCTGAGCGTGTCTGCCTGAGCAAGCTGCCAGACTCACAGGACTCAAATTCTGCCAGAAAGGTCTGTGGATTCCTGGAACCCTGGATCTCTCTGTTCCTGATCTGATCAGAACCTCCAACCGGGTTTCAGACTCCTGGATCTTACAACCGTCCTTGTGTTGGACTGTTTCCTTGATATGGCTCGAACTTCTGTCTTCTCACTGGGCTGCTGCATGGGGTACACTCCGTGAGGCTCTGCACCGTATCTTGTTGACAGTCCATCGGCTAGATCCTGCCTCCTCCTGAGGATGGACTGAACTGTTACACGAGCGTGCCAGTGATGGGTGGCTCCCCGCAGCCACTGCGTATCCGCATATCCACAGCTCCGCGTTCCTTTCCGTCTGTGTTTTTTTTGTTAATAAACCTTTCGAAACTTCCCACTATCTGTCTCGCCTGATGGGTCCATCTGTCCTGTTATATAAAAGTTATAGTCTAAAATGTTTGTTTTTTTAAACTGATACTAACTGAAATTAATACTCCAATGTCCAGCTCAATTTTGGTTTTGGGACAATTACAGATTATTTATCTGTCTTTCTTATTTTGCTTTCAAAAAGATGCTGTTTCTCACAAATCTTTAGATTTCTGTATTACAATGCACACTTCCCTTCTCACAAGTGCCAGAGATTTTCTTTTGAGTCATTTTTGGGGATTTTGCTTTCCTGTTCTAGACTGCAAACTAGTGGGGACACTGCAGTTATTTTGTAATGTACAGATGTGTCTGTACACGCCAGCTCTGCTATTTACTTAAGATAATTAAAGCAGGTGGCCTCTGTCTCTGCATGCTCTTGATTTAATCTTTGGAGTTATTTAGGCACAACCTCAATCATGACACTAATAAAGGCCCACTACCATTTTCAAACCAAAACTCAGAAAAAAATAAAAGCATGTTTTTTATATTCAAAAAGTATTCATGATTTAAATTTATTCTCTGAATTAGGCCGCTTTAAAGCACCCCTATTTTCCTACATTTAAAAAATAAAAAATATAAACATGGAGGCCCTCAGAGCGTGTTTCTTGCCATTTGTGCAGGAAAATCCATCTCAGATTAAGTAGATGGCCTTTATCTTATTTTTCAGCCCTTCTCTAGATGAGCTATTTTGGGCTTTCCAAGCCTCTGTCCTCTGGAAGGATGCACCCCCCACAACCCGCATCCATGACAACCAATCAGACTTTGTAAAGATCGCCTAGGAGCGTGGAATAATACATTAGATGAAGTAGGTGATGCTACAGACCACTTTGGACAGCATATTTCCCCTGATGACATCATAAGGGGAATTAATTTAAAAAGGAACATTGAGCACACATTAGCTAAAAGGTGGAGAAAGGCAGTGAGAGAGTCAAAAGGTTTTGTATTTTTCATTTGTAAATCTCACACACATGTTTCAGGACACATATGACTGTTACAAATGTTTTATAATGTTAATTTTGCATAGTATTGGACATTCGAGTTGAAATTGGGATGCAGACTTAATCAAGGCTGGGCCTTGTTGGGTGACCCTTACCAAACCCAATCAGACTTCTTATTAATGCCACACTATGTCTCTTTCCTTAAATATTCTCTCTCTATGCATTTAGATTTCATCATTAGAGCTGGTTATTTTAGCATGGTTTAAAACATTTGGCAGGTACAAAACAGCTTACATTTGCAAGAATAATTGGGATTACATTGTTTTTAAAAGGACACATTTGCTTCTGCCAAAACTTCTGACATCAAGCTATGCCAAATCTATTTACTGTGTCAAAATATTATATTTAGCTAGCATTAATTTCTTTGTAGTGACCCTTTTTCTATAGAAGTGACATGTTCAACAATACAAAACAAATCACAAAAGATGTTTGAAAAGTTCCCATGCTGGAACTGGTTAAAGGTGCACAAATGGACCATAAGGTAACTTATGGTCCATTTGTGCACCTTCAACAGAGCTCAACAGAGCCTTTTCCTTAGTGAAAGTATAAAGTCAGCTGATTGAAAAGTCATATCAGGGAAAATACAGTCATGTTGTTTTTGAATTTGAAAGTGCAATAAGAAAAACAACAGAAAATATGTGTACACTAATCTATATTTCTTATGAATTCAATGACATTTTCAAAATCAAAAGAAATACCCTTGTCCCATTTTAAATTGGAATTTTCAACAGAGACGTTCTTATACTCGTATGCAGAGA